CCTAGACCCATAGTTTTTTAAATAAATTGAAAAATATCAGGAAAAATTGGTGCGTTTTTGGTGTCTTTCTTACTTTGATCATCATTTAAACATATTTAAATATTTACAATGTAATAACAATTCATATAGTTTTATTCAGGAAAATTCACAGATTCTTCTCGTGTAAAAAGCCACTGAATAGCTGCTGCGGTAAAAGCACAACAAATTTCCAAAGTTGAAAATTTGCAATTTCTTTTAAAGTTAATTTTCTCAAAAACTGTACGTCCTAGAGAAAAACTGATTTCAGATTCGTATTCAGCTCGCAAAAATCTATAAGAATTTCATAGTAGCCGTTACGAAATAAAAAAAAAGTCAAAATTTGTTGTACAGTGTTATTCATGTTAATGCAAGCCTTAATTTCTTCCTGTGGAAGAAATGTCATTCCAAATTTGAGTTAAGACTTGCGACAAGTTTTGTAGATTGGCAGGTTGTCTTGTTAAATTTCTATAGGGTTCAAATCTGGACTTACTGCAGGATGTGGAAGCAATCGAATTGAATTAGGACTGCAAAATTCGCGAATGATTCTCAACGAGGCTTCTCAACGATAATTCATACACATACACAGATACTCACACACAAATACACACAAAAAAAGGTTCTTGTCAGAGCCATATGATGTGCGAAATCTGTCCAGCAACCTCTCCGAGGTGCATATCGGGTAATGCTTATGCCGGCGGTATATGCCATAAATGCAAAGGTTTCTTTAAAGTTCTGTATCTTTGCGGAAAAAAATGGTAGTGGTTTCTCACGTACTGGAAATTAAAGATGAAGGTTTGCACTTTATGCTGCTGTAAATAGTATCACCAAAAAAAAATGTGACAAATCCATGCACTTCGTCAAACTTTGTCATTTTCAATATTGCAAACATGACCTCACATTTACGGTGTTATTATGGTAGAGAAGCATCAAATATAAAATCAAACTACAGGGTCTTAAAGTAGAGATCTCAAGCTTTAATTTAAAAAAAAGAGCGTAAATTTGCAATGATTTTTCACGGAGTTATCATCATTCAAATTTGGCCAATTTTTGCTTAAAATTTTTCTATGCCATATTTCTTTTGAGCAGTGTACATGCCAAAGGTTCACTAAAACTGCATAACAAGTTTCAAGGGCAAGTGATATACATTTGAATACAAAAAACAACCTTAATTTTAAAAAGTAGCATATGACTGTTCTCCAAGACAGTATGTATTTTACAAAAACTTGCAATGGATAACAAATAACACAAAAAGAATAAAAAGCAAATGTTTCTTAAATTATATTTTCATAACTATAGTTCAAGTAAAGGAAAATCTCGATTCATATATTATCACGGTTTTAAAACATTTAATCTTTCTTCGATTTTGAATAATCCAAGTACAATTCTTACAGCAATGGATAAAACCTTCATACAAAAAAATGAGAATGACCTTCAGAAAAATGATTTTGATAAAACATATGTCACAGTCAAGCAGAGCTACTTCTTGAAAATGTAACTCTTACTTTATTTTCATTACGCGAATTCCAATAACTAAATTTAAATAATCTTATAATTACAAAGTGAAAAATATAAAACTTTTACATCTTTTATTCTGAGAATATATTATATGTCTTTCATAATATAAGCACCCACTATGAGAAGACTTTTCGAAATTCAACCTCTAAAGCGAGCGGAAAGAAATAAAATGTATTTTTTTAACAGGATGACTTGAAGCAATTCATATATTATTTGTTATGTCAAAAAATATTGCAAATAAAAGTTAAATGGTTTTCGAAAGGCCACACAGTACTATAATCGATTTGTATTACTTCACTTTTTTATCAAAACGGAATTGCATATTTTTTATTTCTTTAATCGATTCTGTGGAACATTCTATAGAAAAAATTATATTTAAACAATATTTCTTTATATTTTAAATAACTTCAATCTGATTTATTTCCACATTTAGTTTCACAAAAAATTAAAATATTACCTCTATGAGCATGAAAAATGTATCTAAGTACAAATGGTCCTAAATTCAGCAAAAATAGCAACATCACTGTCTCTGAATAATCCTTTGAAAGCACGAAAGCTCTATTTTCTGTAAGCATCTTTCAGATTTTCATTGCGTTACTTCTCAATAGAGTTATAGCGATGTGAATATTTCTATAATAATTTGGAAAAATCTTATTCCAAATAATAATGCTCTATGTAACACGTAAAATTTTTCAAACTAAGTGCATTTATATTGGCTATAAGTAACAACTTTCTAGTATAAAACGAGTGGTTCATGTCATTTCTTGAGATTTTTTAAAGTACGTTATTTGATTTTGAATAAAAAATTATCCTTTAAACTTTAATTGTTCCTAAAATGCAAAGGAATCATTACAAATTATTTATTAAATAAGTACATGAATGATTAATTTCTTCTCTTGAAAAAAAAAATGCCTTATTTTTTCACTTGCTATATCCTAGCACAAAATAACTGCAATATCGTTATCTTCCTATTGTTTCAAATGAAACAGTTCAGTGTTTGATTCTTTTTTTTGAAAAATACAATAGTTTTTGAATTAATGAACTAACCATAGTCATAATAGAACTGTAACATTTACTGCCAGTGTAAAATATTCATGTCAGTGAAATATATAAAATATATATAATTGTATTCATATGAATGAATATTTTCAAGTGAAGAAAATTTAAAGAAACAGTTTGCAAACAGCAATCAATTAGATTAAAGAATATGAACACTCAAATAACCACAATTTGTGCAAATATTAATCCTAAAACGATGAAAAAAATAAATAATATATTATCATAAGATATCACTTGAATATCTATGAAGATAATAACTTAAAAAAATTGTTTATACATATATTGTGATCAAGTATTCTAAATAGATACTCTTAGCGTAATAGAATATTTTGTTATATTTATAGGTTCATACATATTGTTGAAGGTCTATAATCTTGATAAAAGTAATTTTACATAAAATTTTAATTCATGGCCATGTTATTATATATGTCTAAGTCCATATTTTGACCAACTACAACTACATGATGCAATAAAAAATATATAATTGTATCAAAGAAATTGATATCCATAAAATCTCAGTAAAAGGAACCTTAATAAAAAAAATATTTTTGTGACATACCTTTGATACAATTTAAACATTACAAAACATATTTTATACATATGATTATATATGTTGTAACACATACATACATACATATACATATATAATATTAGAAAAAGAGCTCCTAGATGGTATAAATTAGTAAATAAAGTGTAATTCAGTACAGTTCAATATTTGGTAAGAAATGCATTAAGAAACATAAATTTTTACTTACCATTTAAAATTATATGAGAACACTGGAAGTTCACATCCAAACATATCAACAACTTTCATTGGTAAATCCAAACCACTGGATGATATGTGAAGACAAATACCTAAATCAGCACTAGCTATGTGCAAAAATTTTATTTCTTATATTATATGAAAACCACATAAAGAAAAATACAAGTATTGCATTGTAATACCTAGTATCTTAGGATAATCTTCGTTTTCTAGCCACGGTGTAAGAATTGTAACATGTTTCCAATTTTTTAATTTTACTATAGCTTTATAAAATTCTTTTAACGGACCTTTACCAGTTATTATACAAATTAAATCAGGTAAATTACAAGTACATTGTACAATCATATTTTCATATTCTGTAAAATAAATATTTCAATCATAATAATAAATATTATATATTTATATAATTACATAAAAATACACAATAACAAGTTACCTTGTAATGCATTTAACAATATTGAAAAATCTTCATCTTCTGTCCAACTTGTGCTTGATACGATAAGACCAGGTCTTTTAGAAGATAACCGTATCTCATTGTCTACAAATTCTGTAAATATAGTTGTATTTTCCTTTTTACCTTTTAATATATTATGCTTTTCACTCAATTTTAATAAGAACATGTGTTTCTCCTCTAATGATATAGGATGAAATTTGTCTGTTGGGCGATCATATAATACTTCAGCTCTAAAAAAGTATATATTAATATACATATTCAAAAATAAAAATTGCATTTAAAAATACCAACTTGATTTTCCACTTTAATTGCAAGTCATTCCTCATTGCTTCAGAAACACAAATATGACTATGTGCTTTAAAACCAAAGTATGTTTCAATAATTCTTGCAAATTTTACAAACAAATGATCATTTCTTAGGCTAAGTCCCATAAGAGTAAATGCATAATTATGCCAATCAATAATAAGTTGTGAATTTATAATGAAACAATACAACCAACAAATTGGAATTGTAGGTATTGCAGGCGGATTTTGTATCAACATGTGAGTTGGTATGCGTATGTGCAATAAAGTCCATATTAAATTAAAGGTTTGCCACAAAGTTTTTACCACATAACATACAAAAAGTGACAATTCTGAAATATCAAAATAAATTTTTACTTCAAACATATTTTTAAATACACATTATTATAACAATTCTTTTATATAACATAATTATTAAATGAAATATGTTATACAAAAATTCTTAATAAACTTAAGCATAGCGTAAATTTATGAATTTATAATAAATCTAAAGACATACTGTTCTCTATATTTAGAGGTGGAGAAAGATAATAAATACGTATTAGAGGATTTTCTCTAATTTCTTTTAACGGCAGTGAACCAGGATAACCTATAAAGTCTACCGCAAAACCTTCCTTTACAAGTGATGTTACATGATATTGCATTCTAGGACTTCTACCTAAATCTCCAAGAACAAGAACGCAAACGTTTTTATGTCTTTTACATAATTTTAAACAAATTTTTCTAATTACGTGCAAGATCAACAAAATTATACAAACTACACAAATTCTCCACATGTTAAATTATATATATTGGGTAATTGAGCTATACAGACTACATATAGTCAAAGCACAGTATATTATACTGTGGCCAAAGCTAACAAGAAAAGGCACGGAAGTATCCCCCTCTGTATGTACGTAAAGTTCGTACGTTTGCTAAGCAGGCAAAAATAAGGGACACGTATTTCTTTTATTTCGGCTAAGACGCGGGTTTAAGGAGTCAAATGACCCCTTAGAGTTTTGACTCGCTTTGGTTATCTTGAAAACCATACGAGATACTTTTAATAGGAAAGTTGTATGATTTTTTTTGCGCATAATAACAGAATATTAATGAATTGTGCAAAATGCAATTTATTTATAACACAAAATTTCTCATAACCTTATTTTACAATTTATTTAAATTTGCATAATAACAAAAAGTGAAGAGAATTTTATTACAAATCCATTGGAACTGAACTGAACTGAAACTTATTTCGTAAAGATAGTTAAGGACATAACCAATTTAAATATTTAAGGCAAATGAATCGGGGCGTAATGCCATGATTTTCAAGAAAGCCAAAATCCGATAATGGGGACCTCTGGTGGCGAACTGGGAAGCTATAGACAAGGATAGATAGATCCTTGTCTCTCCAATGTATCTTCCTTTTCACGAGACGAGGCAAAATTCGTTTTCTGGCACGTGTGGCGAAACGATGGTGCCGTAGCAAGGTCGGCGGGTGCCCGCGGCATCGATTTTTAAAAAATTTTTATATGCGGATGTATGCACATGTAATTTTTTGTTGCAATTTTAGAGAAATAAAGGAATATATTGTTAATAATCGTTTATAGTTGTTAGTTTGTTTTTTCAGCAAATTAGTCATTTTTTCACGTACAACTGATTCTAAATGTGGCTGCGATGGACGTTCGGCGCAGGATTTATGAATAATTTGTTTATTATTTAGTCTGAAATCATATATGCTAAACTGGTTCGAAGAAGATACCGTATCGCATGAAATATAAGATGTATATACATTTGCACGTTCCTCGGAAGAAATAACGCAGATATAAGAGAAAAATCGATTGCTACTACGAGACGAAATAGTTAGTTGTATTAAAAATAGAAGAGACAAAAATTTATAAATAAAGCATATGCGTAATAAAAAGACTTTTTTAATAAAATGCACTGTTTGTAATAATTACCATAACTCTACATATTTTGTAAGATAGATATAGATTTAATGATAAAAGAATGTTATATACAAAAATAATTTATGTGATTGCTTTAATACTATTCCTGCAAGAGAAAAATATTCAAAGGTCAGGTATAGGAAATATGTAATGTGTTTCGGGTGATTAAAATTTTTAACGTGAAAGAGATCGGCAAATGGAAAAGAAAGACAGATAGAATGTTGAATTGGTCGGCAAACAAGAAAGACTCGTGCGTGTTTTGTCTTTTGCATTCAAAAATCAAAATTCTTTATTTTTGGTTTTTCGTGAATGAAACTTTGATCATCGTATTCGTCTTGTTGTTCTAATTAAAATGAGACCAAACACGATATAATTTGAAGCATAATTACTGGTTTAGATTTGACGATAAAAGTTTCTGACGTAGAGGAGGATAGCGAGTGAAGAAGAAAGAGACACTGCGGTCGTGGCAGTCGGCAAAGATCAAAAGTCTGTTCAATTGTTTGCAATGCTTATGCATTGCTAACTTTTTTATTTTTGATCTATTTTGTATACAACTTGTTTCATCATATTCGTGACATTTTCCTGATTAAAATGAGACCAAACACGACGTAATTTCAGTTATATGTACTTGCAATATCTTATTGGAGTAAAGTCATCGATGTACGCGTAACATTTTACGTCGTAGTCCGTTATGTGTCGGAACGTAAGACAATTCTCCAAGCAAACAATTGGCTGAGAGGTTAGGAGTCCTGCCTCGTAATCTCTGCATCCTCCTTGTCGCAGGTTCGAGCCCCCTGAACGTGGTTTTTTTACCATGTTACGTTTTTCATTTTTTTTCTTTTGTAATTGTGAAATTATAAATAAATGTAGCATGTGGCGTCATCTTGCAGTGCGAGCAATGCATGTCGTTAGAATAAAAAATAATTGAGAAATGCACTTCCTTCTTCTTGTTCGTGAAATGAAAACGCGCGCGGCATGTAAATTGGTGTATGAGAAAGTTATCCCGGCATTGTTAATTAAGCTTAAAGTTAATATGTGTATTCTTTGTGTTTAACATTAAATAATTAATTTGTAATTGGAAGTGTATTATTAGTTTTTGATTTTCTCCGATCCTGATTATTTAACAATAATAATATTAAAATAAATTCAAACTGTTTTTAAATAATTGTTATTTACAAGATATAAAACATCTGCAACTAATAGTATACATGTACAATAATATTTAATACATGTAATAGAGATCCT